AACTTTTTTCCTAGGTGTATATATATATATATTAATTATTTTAAACAAAAAAGCACGTGTGAAAGTTTAAAAACAGAAATGTATCAATATCTTAATCAGTTTAACCCTGTATTAGTCTTCCCAGGTCTTCATGGACACCAAATATTTTGTAAACACTGGTGCAGACAGATGGAAGCATGTACATTTGTTGTTCACAGTAGCTTCAGTATTCACTAATTTGTGTTAAATTGTTACACTTAATTTAGGTGGTAAAAAAGAAACAAGTTGTAATATTCAGTGTTCATTTATTGATTAATAAAGAAATAAATTTTGAGTTTTAGTGTTTTTTGTTTCCAAAATAATAGCTTATTATTATTTAAATATTTTTAGATTAATTTTTTATGTTGAGGTCTGCTCGGACCCCGGAAGAGTAACTACGGAAAATTTTTACAGAAGACTAACACAGGGTTAAAAGAATGGGAATTTGTTGAGAGAATTTAGATAATTTTTACAAGTTTAAGTGTTAATGAGAAAACTGACCAGTAAATTGGTAAGAAGTGTATACCATTTGACACACGAACAAGCTAACCTCTCGCTATGGGTAGGTCAGAGTGCACATGTCACGATCTTTTTTAATTAAACAACTTTATCAATGTATATGAATAAACTTGATATCAAAACATAGTTATTGAATTAAACTTAATAGTATATAAGTTTTAATTTCCTAATTTTAAAAGGAAATATTTAAATAAATCCTCAAACTTACCTTGTTTCAGAATCATGATATTTGTTCCCTAGGTCTTGCCCATTCTTTAATATATTTACCACTCCTCTGAAGTTTGAAAGTTTAATGTAAATTACTCATTATAATACAGTTATTACTAAGTTAAATCAAATTTTTATAGCCTTCAATCTTCTTTGTTTACAGAGACATAAACTAGAAAGTCAGTCCCACTTGCAACACCCACCTGTCACATCATCTCTTTCACAATTGCTAATAATTCTCTCTGATGTTTGATATTATACCATTTATAACCAACAAAAAGACAAAGCTTTAATCTATTAAATGGCGTATTATATTATGTTGTTTTAAGTACATAGTATTGTCTGTTTCATCTTCAGTTTGAAAATTTCTCTCACGGTGTTCAGATTGAGAACTTGTTTAAAATTGTTTAAGACTTTTATGCCATAGTTGGAAAGCCTGTTAAATTATAATAATTATAGGGCATTGATTACTTTGTGCATATTCTTAATCTGTGTTCTTAGATATGTTATTTAAGTAAATAAAAATTATTTAGTGTACTAGCACCATCAGTATAAAAAAAGGGCTTAAATTTCATTAGCAACTGACATAAAAAAAGAGGTCAAAGGTAAGTACTACATTTGTTACTTATATTAACTAAAATGTAAAGATCAGAAACTTATTAAGTTAGATTATGTATGATAAAGAAAACTAATAATAGCAATAATTCTCCACAAGGCATTCATACGAGTAGCTTAGGAGTTACATCATTCAATAGGGTAACTTGAGCTATTCATTTGCCAAGTGATTTATGACTTGTATGACAGGATTAGTAGTTAGACATAGTCCAAAGGGCAATAAACAATAAAATGAAGTAGAAACAGATGAAAACAGTTACGAGTCATCAGATATTTATGACAAACAAATGTAGTTTCCTGTTACAATCTGCAGTCATTCTAGAAAGAAAAAGGAGGTAATTTATATTTATTTCCTATTGTTTTATGGTGGTTACAAGGTCAGTCAAATCAATTGTAACAGAAAAAATATAAAGTTTAACTGAAAAGAAATAAAAACGTTTGATATTTATTTAGGAGGATTTAGAGATTACACAAATGAAATTTTAAAATTTTCAGATGAAGAAAAGTAATTTTAATCTTAATGTGAATGTCACTTTGCGCTTGAAGCAATCAACACTCTGACTCAATATATTCACCTACAAATCTTTAGTAAAAATATACTTAATAAAAAATCTGAGTTTTTGTGCTCAAAAGACTTATAATGTTCAAAAGTTATAATATGGAAATTCTAATGCATGCTTTGGTATTACAAGGTGGATGTAATACACCAACCCTGTATGGAAAGAGTTAAGGAATTGGAGAAGAAAAGTAAATTAGAAAAATTAATTGTTAGATGACCATGACACAATGTTTATGAAATTAAACTAGAAGAAATGGTATCAAATACCAAATAGAATTTTACAAAAGAATTTATAAAATATAAAGAAGCGTATAAAGACATAAGAAGAGTAAAATAATAAAAGAAAAAGTCATTCACCAAAAAAAATTTTTTTTAAATATTACATCAATATTTCCAACAAGGTACCTTACTTCTTCTCACATACAAAAACTATTCTTGTTCAGTGCTGCCCTCTGTTTCACATAGTTTAACTGATTCTCACTTGCAAGTTATGTAACAAACCTCCAACAATAGTAATGCCACACACCCACGTTACTCATGTGACTCTCTTTATGCTATTCTACCTAACTATCCCTTCTTGCTTAGCAGTGCTCGGGTTGTGACGTTTAGTTTGTGCTCTCTTAGTTTTTTTTTTTCATATCTTTATATCAATTTCTCTCAACCACTTTACAATTTATTATACAATAGTAATATTTGTAACTTATTTGGAATTGGAATTATTTTTAATTCTATCCAGTTACAGAACTTAATACTTCATTAAAAGTCCCCCTGGTGGGACAGTGGTAAGTTTTTGGATTTACAATGCAAAATCACAGGTTCGATTCCCCTCGGTGAACACATCAGATAGCCCAATGTGGCTTTGCTATAAGAAAAAAGACACACAATTCATTACAAGATTTTTCTACTTTTTATTTCTTTCTGCCAGACATTGTTCATGATGAGCAGTGCCTGTTAATCCTATCCATTTTGCCCCCTGCATAGTTTCTCCTACAGGAAATTTCTCCATTACATCTCCTTTCTTAGGTGTTCCACTTATATCTAGGGGATTTTCATGGGGTACCTCTTCTTCCTTCCCTCCATGTGGGGGCATTTGCCATCTTCTGTTCTTTCCCTCCACATGTGTCTTCTTTGCTTTTGGGATTTTCTGGGGTAGGACACTGTCTTCTACTGTTTCTTTACCATCCACTTCTAATAGGGACTCAGGGTTGGCTCTTTTTTCTCCACTAGTCTATTGTTGAGGCTACTCCTGTACACTTAGCATCACTTGGGGTGCCTGCAATTCTATATTCCTTTTTTTTGGTTGATCTTTTGTTGCATTCCGAGTCAATGTCATTTTTATTCATGTTCCATGTCTGAGATCTTCCCTTTCTTTACCTGTCCTACCTAGGGGTTTCTCCATTTGTCATTTATGCTCAATGCTGATTGGAGTTCTGGACAGATTGGTCTTGTCTCAATCACTTCTGGTTTCTTCCCTGTTTTAATATGTAGTCTTTGATCACAATCGGATTGGACAATTTCTGCAAGACTGTGATTGCCTATGGTACACATTCTTATTTTTCATTTCTCGAGGCTCCCCAATTGAACAGCGGTACGTCTGCAGACTTATGCTGCTAGAAACCAGGTTTTGATGCCCGTGGTGGGTGGAGAAGAGATAGCCCTTTGTGTAGCTTTGTGCCTAATAACAAACAACAACAATCTTTCTTTAGTGAATTGTTTCAGTCTTTCTTCGCAGCTTGGCATTTTAAAGGCCTGGCATGGCCAGGTGGTTAGGGCGCTCGACTCACAATCTGTGGGTCACAGGTTTGAATCCCTGTTTCAGCCATGGGGGTGTTATAATGTGACAGTCAATCCCACTATTTGTTGGTAAAAGAATAGCCCAACAGTTGGTGGTGGGTGGTGATTAATAGCTGCCTTCCCTATGGTCTTTCACTACTAAATTAAGTACAGCTAGCACAGATAGCCCACGTGTAGCTTTGTGTGAAATTTATAACAAACAAACAAACAAACAAACATTTCTCGGGACCCTATCTTAGGTTTTTTTTTTCACCACATAATTTGGGACCAGTTTTCCTCAACCACCTCTGTTGGGACCATCTTTTCTCCTTCTCTAATGTTTCCACACCATTACGGTTCACTATCTTACACTCGCCCTAGCTGTTGATATGTTTAGACAGGTTTGGATCCAGTTTCTCACTTTAGTTATTTCTCTTTCCATCATATCTCACCTGGGTGATGTTGATCATCCATGTCACTCTGGGTCAGGTCTTTCTAATTGATCCTTTCTGGTCAGCACATATCTGGCTTTCTTGGCTATTTCTGCTTGAAAGGTTCTTTTTGTTCTGATTCGATTTTATGATCCTATACTTTGGGGGCTCATGTGGAATATTCTTTTTGTCATTTTCATTTCTTGCCATCTTCCACCCTTTATTCTCAGTCAGATCCAGGTAATTTTGTCTGTTCCGTATATGCTCTGGGTTGCTTCATTGCTTTCAAGGCTTCTTTCTATTAAATCTGTTTCCTGCAGTTCCTTTCACTTGCACCTCTCCTCTGTTTGTGATTTTTTTCTTCCCTTCCTCTCTTACCCATTGGGTTCAGCTTGTGATTCAATTGGCCTTTTATTCCTTGTCTCCTTCTTCCCATAATCAGTTCGTAGTGTCCTCTCTCCATTTAGGCACCTTACCTTTTACCTGCATCTGAACCCCATCATCTGTTGGAGGTACTTCATCTATTAAGTACTGGGACTACACTTCATACGTTTTTCTCCAATTATCTTCTTTGGGTAACTGTTTCTTCCTTGTCTGGGTACCGTCTTCCACCTGTAGCTATCCTTCACTTTTCAGTGAAACTGTAACTGGTTAATTTTTCTTTTTTTGTTATATTTATTATTTTTCAGAGGCCTGTCCAATGTTTTGACCAGGATCCTATTCTGTGGTGAGTGGTGCCTATCCAAGTATACTTCAGTCATGTAGAATTGTACTAACACTCACACTGTAAGGTCATGTTGACTTCACTTTCATAATTTCTATGGCCACAAAATACACCACCTTGAAAACAAGAGATTGGGTGTTCCATAAGATCACTCATAGATTATTCCTCACGATATCTTTGGTTCATAAATATGCCATTCTGGACCTTACTAATCCATGGACTTCATGGATAAAGCAGAAGGGGATTGCTGCCCATCCTTACCATTCCATAGATTGAATAAAATCAGGTTTGGTCTGCTTTTCAAAATATTCTTTTCCAGTGTCCACGCATTCTCCCCCCATTTTTTCCAGTGGAGTATGAGAGTCCTTACCACTTTCTAGTTCCAAGCGGCTTGGGTGGTGCACCATGGAAGTATCCTGCTGAATGAGAGATATACAACAGTATAAAGACTGATGAATCCATTCAGTTGAGAGTAGGGCGGTGGTTTTCTGCTGGTGTAGTTGACAGTAATCCTCTGAAAAGACACTCCATCTGTGCACCGGCTTCTCAGAGAGGATGTTATAGCTTTGGAGTGAGCCATCATAACAAGTGGGACCCCTCATCCTACCCTCCTAATGGGCATCGGTTACCAGCGGTTGCATTTTAGAGCTGAACCAATCACAGTAAGTCCTCCCACATGTGTTCAGGGGGTGCCTGGTGCCTCACTCATTTTGCTTCATGTGACTGCTTTTGATGTCTTTATGCTGAGGATGTTTCTGTGTTTGAGGTAATCTGGTCTGTTTGGTTTGAGTGGGATATCTATGTACCCTGTTCTCTGAATTTCTCCCTCCGGTTGGCTGAACTTGAAGTGAAGACGGTATGATCCTCTTTCCTACCCCCACATGGATGTCGGTTCCCGTCGTTTGGGTTTTCGATTTTAGTTGACTTACCAATTGTATGATCCTCATCCTACCCCCACATGGATGTTGGTTCCTGATGGTTGAGTTTTGGATGCAGCTGACTTGCCGTGTACAGTCCATTGCACCCTAGCCACTCTACGTCTTGGGGCAAATCCCTTCTTTTTCCCACATTTTGTTCATGAGAAAGATTGCAATTAATGTTGTGGTTAGGATCACTGTCTAGCCATTTTTTTCCCATTGGGATGTGCTTCTCACAATTTTTCACTTGGATCTGGCACACCTTTTCCACATCTGGGCAAAGAGTATACCTGGTACAGATGTGGTGGAGTCTCCCACATCTAATCTTCTTATTAGAGGGTTCCCTCATTAGGGTATCCTCTGGATGCATTTGAAAGATGCTTCTTCTTTTTCCCTCACACAGGTTACTCCACCTATTCAGTGTGAGATTCTAGCTATGTATATGAGTGGAAGGTACTTTGTCAGAAATTATAATTTTCCACACTGAAAATACATTTCTGACAGGTACAATGTAGCATCGTTATAACGTGATCGTTGAGGTCCATAAAATGTCATGAAACAAGCGGGGTCGTGCTAAATCAGGGTTCAAGAAAATCACTGCTCAGACTGACCCAGTATTGACCTAACATCCTAAAACACCTCTATTTTTGCCCTCTTTGACTAGTTTTTACACATTCCCTTTCTGGCAAGTAAATTACCTCTAAATTAAAGAATTTTGCAAATGAATCGATGTTGTCACAGTAGAAATTAAAACAAATTATTTTTAGTAGGCTTTTTAATAAACAAAACAACAAATAAAAACATTCAAGAATATTAGCAATCATCTTTTGCAGTTTATTTCTTAAAGACTGATCGAGTGTTCTTTGCTTGAACGTAGCATATGTCTGGCTGCAAACGAAATGTAGAATGCTTCTGAGTTGGAGGATTTTTATGTGGTTCACCTCCTGAGTCTACAGCCAGTGGAGGCTAGCCCCGAGGTGTTCAATGGCTTCAGGTTTTTTTTTTTGGTGGTTATGAGGTTGGTCGAATTGACTGATACCGTTTTGAGCTAAGGTAGAGAAAATAACATAAAACCATAAGGATTTAGTAAAAAAAAAACGTTTGAAATGCATTTAGGAGGTTTTAGTGATTACACAAAGGAAATTCGAGATTTTTTAGATGACAAAGAGTGTTTTTAATTTTGACATGAAAATCACTTTGCACTCAGACTAGTTAAAAAAAAATCATCGATATTTTCATGGACAAATTTAAGTAAAAATACTTCATTAAAATATCTGATTTTTTTGTGTGCAAAAGGCTTCTAATGTTTACTATAATTCTACAAAATTTTGTAAAGATACACTTAAAATATTAAAAGTTATTAGTATGTAAACTATAATGAGGTTATGGTTATGAGGTCAGTTCCAGGGACAGTGCCCGTGTTGAAAGAGTTAATAACCCATCGCATTATATCCAAATTCGCGTTAAATTGGGGCACATAAAATCTGGGTTTCACTGTACTTACTTCTGCTCACACTTCCTATCCTTCCTCTCCACTGTTCACTGGTGCTTAGGTTTCTGCTTGAACTCGAAGTGATAGTGAGATAGAACAGCATAGAGTCACATGAGCTTGTGAAAAAAGTTTTGCAAATAGAGGGTAGCACTGAACGAGGAGAGCTGTGTATGTGAGTAGAAGTAAGTACATGTCTGAAATATATTTCCAGTGTAGGAAAATTAATTTTTGAAATTTTTATTGTATATATTTTTTCATTCACAGTTAATGTGCTTTTAAAGTGCATGTAAACTGTTTGAATTAGTAGTAATACATGTATATTATGAAAGTTGTACAACATTGAGGTTGCAATCACGTGTAAGTTTCTTTTAGAAAAGCTAAATGGTTTTTGATAAATTCTTGTTCGTGAACCTGGAAATATAGTCCACATATTTTTTTTATGATAAAAAAATTTTTTAGATGTTTCTAATCAATTTAATTTTCTGTATCAGAGATACCTGCAACATTTGAAACAAACAACTAGATCTTCTATTTCAAGCACTGAAGAAGCTAGAAGTGATCTGAAGTTACTTCCTGCTGCTAGGTGGCAAGGTTGGTGTTCCTTACTTTAAATTTAACGTATAGGTATTGTGAGCTATTTACAGTGTCTGAAACAAAAGCAAAGCAACTTAAACCTCTCAAAATTTATACAGGACTTGTATCAATGATGTAAAGAAGGAAATATTTAAAAGCTTTGAATTGCCAAGCAAAATTTAATTCATTGATATGATATGTACTTAGATCAATAAAGGTATAGGTATTGTGAGCTATTTACAGTGCCTGAAACAAAAGCAAAGCAACTTAAACCTCTTAAAATTTATACAGAACTTGTATCAATGATGCAAAGAAGGAAATATTTAAAAGCTTTGAATTGCCAAACAAAATTTAATTCATTGATATGATATGTTCTTTTATCAATAAAGGGCAGGTGTTTAACTCTTTCACTGCTAAACCTTCATGAAGCGTGGAGCATGGTTTTTAAATCTTTCTTTTGTTCAGCGTATCAACATATGTAAATGTATGAGAAACAGACGGAGATTGTTTTAACTGATGATATTTTATTCTATAGTGAATAATGTTTCATGTTGAAAGAAAAAATACAGGGTTGTGATTGTAAGTATACTTATAAATCAGAAGATTGTTGTAATGAATAAAATGGTTTTAGGGTTATTTTTAATGTTTCGGCAAGTGGTTTTCCTAGATCGTGAAATTTGACAAATTCTTCCGATTCCGATTGTCACTCGATTGGCCCAATTCTTATTACCTGAACTGGTTATCAGTAAAACATTAGTTTAACATGTCAAAGTGTAAACCTGAGGGTACATAGTTCGTTTCCTGTTACTGCAAAATTGTGCTCTGCACTTTGGGGCTATGTATGTGTTATAAGACTGATAGTAAAATCTCCCTATTTCATTCAAGTAGCCCAAGGGCTCTTTGTGGGTTCTGTTGACTAGATTTCTTCCATTTAGTTTATAATTTCAAATTTAGGGACAGTTAGTGCTGACAGCTCCTGTGTAGCTTTGCATGAATATATAAAACAAACAATTTGAACTCAACTCAAATGTAGCCTAATCTAATGGTATTAATATTAACTTTAGATCAGAGCAAAGTACCTACTCAACTCAAAAATAAAAATCAACCCAGTAATGAGTATAGATAATTGAATGTAGTTTTCTTATATCTTTACTTATAAAGGTTAAATGTGTTGTTTCAGCAGTTGGGTACCCTCATTGTTAGTGATATTTTTGGCCTTAAACCCAATACTATTTCAGGAAATTCTGCCAGCTTAGGAGATTTAAGTTTAATTGTAAATCCATATACTAAACTAACAATGGCCTCTAAAATATAAATATAATAAAAAATTTTAAATAATGAAAATAGAAATACTAAACATTCTAACCAATACTGTTTATGAAAGTAACATTAAAGACTAAGTAGAGTATACCCTATAATAATAAGTAAATACACAATATCGTGTAACTTACAATAAAGTTTAAAACCACACTAATGGAACAATACCAAATATTTAATGGATACTAGTTTCTACACTTCACATGAAATCTTCAGTGTGGTTTTCAATTTAAGAGATACCTTATTTATTTGCAAACAGTAGTTGTTAGCTTCATGTACTCCCAAAGGTTTAATGTTTTTTGAACAACTTAACATCAGTATAACTGTGTATAAGCAGACCACTACAGAGTCTTCCCTAACAATGTCTAGTGACCAATAAAACCCCAGTAATGGCTCCAACATTAAAAATTTAGAGTAGCCTGACATTTGAGATAAACTACTATGACATGTTAGTGACATTTTGCTGAGATTCTCATAGCTAACTCATTATCTTACTTGAATGTGTCTCACTTATTAAAATAAGAACAAAGAACTGGAAATGAATTGAAGTTGCCTTTTTTTTTAGAGAGAAACAAATTCTACAGTAATTTAAGTATAAATGGACAAGAAATAGATGAGGTGCAGTTCATAAGCTCTTTGTTACATCTGTGTTAGCTTTAATTGTACTTTGAGCCATAAAATTTGGGTTAAAAACAATGGAGTGATAAGTCCTACTACAAATTGTTTGCTTCAAATGGAATGACATGTGTTTGATGGAAAGCTAGAGAATACTTTAAACACAACTATACTATCACAACTGTGAAGGATGGTAGGAGTAGTATTATGGTTTGGCCTTGATCCATTGGTAATGGAATGAATGGTAATGAATGGCTTGCTTTATTGTGACATTTTGATAATTTTGCACTTTGAATTGATGGAATTGTATAGAGGACCATGCCTTTTATAGCACGGAAATCTATCCCACAAGCCATGTGCAGTAATAGTACATAAGAAATAACATTCAAAATCTGCCTTCACCAACCTAGAGCCTGGGCTTTAATCCATTTCAATTGCTTGTAGACATTTTGAAATGCTGCTTAAGTAACAGAACAGACAGACATTCAAATCTCACCACATTCAGTGCTATTTATAAAAAGATTAGTCGTTTATTCCAGCAGATGTCACCAGTGGTTGGTAGCAATTGTGAATAACAGAGACAAAGCTGCAGTTAAATCCAAACATGAGCTCATTCCTTATAATTATTATAGGGCCCTAGAGTGAAAACACTTGTTACCCAACTTTTAAAGGTGTTATGTTCCAGAATGTTGTCATAGTGTAGTATATTTTTGAAGTACTGTTGTGTGCAAATACTATATATATATATATATATCATACTTTCCATAATGTGTATTTCTTACCTACATTGTATAGGGGATACCATGCAGCTGTCATACAAAACAGAAATATTTCCACACTTTGGTAGCCTTTTCTAATTGGTCAATTACAGAAAGAATGTGCCTTGTATGTGCAGTTTTAACTATTTTAAAGAAGATAAAGTTCTGATTCTGAATGAGTCAACATTTGTGGTAGAATAAGTTCCTTTGTGCCATTTATGATTCCTGTGATGACCACACGAGCTTTAGTTGAAATTAAAGTTAATTTTTTATCTTCTTAGTTCATTTTCCTTATCTGTGATCATTTCATCATGCAGTTTTCATTTCTTCATTTTATTTGTATTTCGTTTGATTCCAACAGTGTGTTTTGTATCTTTTAATCTATCTATGAGAATTCACTGTACCTTTCCTTCTACACATTAGATTCACAGACTTTATTTTTATGGAGTTAGGTCACTGTGTGCAGGTACATTTTTGAATTACTACTGTGCCATACTATCTGTTTATCATTTCATTATAGCATGTGAAGGTATATACTCTTAAAATAAAAGAAGACTAAATTATTTTTATTCTAATTCTATCACTGTTTTGTTATTTCATCCTCTTAAAAGTATCCTTTACACTTTCAATCCTGATTTGTTTTTTGTATTTTGAGTAAAACTATGTTTCCAAAGTAAATCAGTTCGGAGCTTAGCATTATAAGTTTCTGAACAATAAAAACGATACAAAAAATCAGGATCAACTATCATCACAGAAAAAAACCAACAAAGTAGTGAATGTCAGAAAAGCCTGAATACTGAGTGACTGTAAAATATCTACCACATGTACATATATCAATTTGAATAAATTTTAGAATCCTGTAAATAATGCCCGAAACATTTTTATAATGATACTAAAGCTGTATGTAAAAGGTTTTTACATGAATAATTTTATCTGAGAATATTGACTGTTTTGTAATTTTAAAGAGAAAAAGTCTGAATTAAAAATGTAATTTTTGAAATAGGTTTTGAGATATATAGATGGAGTACATCTACATGTTTGATCCTCAGTAATTCTATCCTACATTTTACATATTCATATGAAAGTATAGGAGCCAGATTAGCATCAATTAATGCTTGAAAATAGAGATTGCACCTTTTTAAAGTATTTATACTTTTACTTCTATCTTACTGATGTTTGCATTCTATATAATAATTGTACTTTGTAAGTAATGAATGTTCTGTTATATAGTTTTGATTAGATTACATCTAAAACTGGGGTAAACAAAATATATGAGTAAGTCCAGCTTTCTCAAAATCTGGGTTTTTTGAATAATGTTCTTTTCACCATGAGCAAAAAAACCTTTGATGCATCTAACCAACATTTGTAATGTTAGTGTAAAATGTTAGGTTTAAGATAGCTAACAAAGCCTAATGATTTGATAAAGCAACTGCCTATTTCTTTTTAAATTATCATTGACTAATTCATGATGTACTCTTTTCTGTTATGATTATACAGCTTTTTTTCTGTTTCTTACATCATTCGTCACAAGTACTTATATTTACATATCACTTTCTTTAAATATTTTAAAATTATTATTTGTATATGGATATATGTTATAAGTTCATATTTGTTCATACGTTTTGTACTTCTAGTGAAATATCTTTAAGGATAATTCAATAAACATCATATCAGTAAAGAAAATCTAAGCAAGTTATGAGAAAGCAAATGTTTTTACATCCATAACACATTTTATCTTTTGTTTTTTGGTTTTGGTTTTGGTTCATTTTGTGCAGAACTAAACAGTTTATTATTAGGGAATATAGTTTATTCATAAGGTTTAGTTTTATTGAGCTCATATGTAGAAGAATGTCTTTTTCTTTTTGACATTTATTTAAGTAAATAATTGTAATATAGCATTTTGTTATGAAGCCAGGCATCATCCAACCTTTATTGGTGTTAAAGAATTCTTATATGGCTGTGAGCTTCCAAAATCTGAAAGGCATATTTAGAAGTAGGTTACATCTATGGTTTTAACACATGTAATATATATGTGGAAATACTTTAATAAGAACTTTGTCCTATTTTGGACATTTTGAATTTATTTTAATGTGCCTTTGATATTGTAAAAGGTATGTAATTTTTATGTTTCCTTTTAATTGTAAATAGATGTTTTACACAAGTGTCGTTTCAAATCATTTAATGTAATTTTTATTTTATTTCTGTTTATAACATTCAGTAAATCATTGTCTATAGGGAAAAAAAAGTTTACAGTTGTCAAAAATGTATCAAGTTTTTGTATATTTGGTAATTGAAAAGAGCCATGAAAGTATTTATGAGATGCAACATAGTTAAAGCCAAGAATTAAGAGCTATTTATAAAATTTGTCATGTGTAGATGCATACATGTTTAATCAATTTGAAATTTCAAGCTTTTACTAATCTGGAAAACAAAATAATATCATTCTATTTTATTTTTTCAGATAAAAGACTCCCAGATATAGACACTGTGCCAAAAGTAAGTTTAAGCTTGTTAAGAAAAGTGTTTAGGTTATGTTTTATAATATTTTAGAAGGTAAACAGTATAAACTAAAATATTAGTTAATGTTGTTATTTCATTAGAACTATGTAGAAATATAAAAATATTCTAGGATGTTTTATGATGCTTGTGACATCTCAAAACCTAATGAAGTAAGCTTAAGTAAATATTACTATATTGTAATTTCTCAGTCCCAAATTTACTGATTTTGGTAAATTACATTTTAATTTTTTATTTTTGCTGCTCACTTGTTTTTTATCCTCTCAAACAAAAGCATCCAACATATGTTTTGGATTGCTTCATGCTTTTCTTACTGAGACACTTTCTTTATAATAAAGCATTGTAATATTGGACTTACTTTTCAGGTTTAACAATATGTACTGGGCTGAGCCTGGTCCAGTGGTTAGCTTGCCAATTGTGTATCTGAGTTTCGTTTTTCACGTCCTGTTATTGCCTCCGGTAACAAAAACAAAATTATGCTGTGAACTATTTGGTCTGACAAAAATATTCTAAGATTTGACCATTGGTGGTGTTTACTAGTTGACTTCTATCTAATCCATCACTTCAGAATTAGGAATGGCTATCAAAGATAGCTATTGTGTAGCTTTGCATGACAGTCAACAAACAAACAAAACAATAACTATTTGAGACAGCAGAAGTTTTACATAGAAGCATATACCTAGTACTTCTCATTCCTTGAACCAGTTTCACTCAAGATGATGTTGTCTTTAGAATACACGAATTTTTTAGAACGTGGATTGTCACAGTTTGATTCATTGCACCACTCTTCCATGTGGATTGAACATGTTTGATCATGCTAAATGTCTGATTGAACATGTTCCAACATTGGAAGTTCATGAGCTCTTTTTAACATTCTTGTCTTATGTGCCATGCAAGGGAATATCCTTCAGTTTCACTCATTCTCTAAGAAAGTTGTGTTTCTAACAGGAAATGTCCCCTTTATGTTAAGTCTTAGACTACCTGATATGTGAAGTTTTTGGGGATATCATTTGAAGTTCATCTAGTCCGAGTTCCTAACTTCCTTGTACTGATGTTTGACAACATGGAATTACGTTTCTTATCACATGATATAATGATTACCAAGATAATATCTTTTTGTGGGCATGATTTTGACTGTTCTTCTTCCCCAGGAGTGAAAGGCAGCACTGGTTTCTCCAGTTCCATTTTCATGTAAGTGTGTGGAGATTCTAGCTAACAATTAAGTTAAAGGTACATATGGGCTATCATATTTGAAACTGACGTTATCAATTTAAAGTGAAATTCATATATTTAAATCTACCATATGTTTCTATTCCCTCACACTAGAGAAGTATGAGTAAAAGGAAAGACCAAATGAGGTTCTTTAAGTGGGACATAAACTTAGATGTAGGAAGTACCTGAGGCTGAACCTGATTGCACTTGGATGTTTTGGTATAAGGTATTATACATGTGGCTCATCATTCCATTTTGTGATGTAAATGAGATTTGGAAGATATGCAAATATAGAACATTAAGAAAGGGGGAAGTAGAAATGTCAAAGAAAACAACTGGAAGATATTATTTTCTTGGCACTTGTGTATAATGTATCTTGACAAATAGTTATGAGAATATCTAAATGTTATGGTAAAGATAACTTTTTTTTTTAACCCTAGATATACTTTGCATTTGAAGAAAAATAAATTGTATATTATTTTTGTTTATACTTCAGGACAGTCATGTTTTATATTGCTAATGTAAAATTAACATTTATGGTTTCTTTCTTTTAGATATTCCTTCAGTCAGATTTTTCTCTGCACAGTCCAGAAACCTTTAAAACTGTTTTACCATGGGCTTGTGTACAATCTGACCACATTACTGTAGAGGATTTTAATACATGTTCATCCTCTAAGTTACTACAGGAAAAGGTAATTTATGCTGTTATTTGAACTGCTTTTAACTAGTTTTAAGACAATTATTAATTCCATTCCTTTTGATGTTTTACAACTTTCATAATAAGAATGTTTTTATTATTATTTCTAGGCTGTATGTCTAATCTCTATTGAGTTATATTGTCTGGAATAAACATACGTTTTTAGGAATCCTAATACCCTATTATAATAAAAAAATTTGAAACTGATACCTCCCTGTGCTTTTGATATTGTAAAAAAATATAAAAAATTAGTAATTCATAAAAATAAAGATATTTTTTGAAAACATGCCCCCAAATAACTTTTTTATAAGTTATGATAGTCATGGATATGTGTGGTTTGGAAAACATGAACAAATTTGTTTACAAATCTTCTCTGTCAAACACTTTTGAAATATTCTCTAGTTGTTCAGACCAAGCTGTTGTATTCCCTGTAGCTATGATTATTTAATGTTTATTTTTAGGTCAATTTATGTTAGGATATCATTCAGGCCTATTTATAGTAGTAGGGTGGGGTTTGTTCAGAATTAGACATAAATTTGATGGTCCAAAAAATTTAGGTTCTAGTATTCAAAAGTTCTACAGCTGTATTTGACCACTAAACACCTAATGCTGAAATTAACTAATGAAAAGGCTTAGTTGCTTCCAAAAGGCAATTCTACTTTTCAAAAGTGCTCAAGCTTTCAGAATAATTCACATTGCTGATTGGATTTCAAGCTTCCTGAAAAACTTTAGTAATATATGAGCATAGTTACGGTAGTGTGAAAATATATTAGAAAACCACAACAATTGTAAAATTATGAGCTTTACACACAAAATAGTCATTGATATGCTATCAAAATTAATTTGTATTTATTGCAAGTTAATATTACAGGAAATTATTACAAAAGTAATACAAAAATAATGTCCTTAACTTTCTTTAATGCTAATATTTAGTGTGGACACCTTTGACTTCATAAGCATCTTTGGGACATTGAATGTCTACATATTTTCTCAAAGTCACTGTGTAATTTGATTCCATAGGCTTTCTTTAGTACAGTTGGTACTTTTGTCATATTTGATCTATGTGTTTAAGGTCTGGACCTTTTGGCAGCTATTCCACTTAATGAAGATCTCTTGAGTTACTTGTTATTTTAAATAATCTTAACATATCTTGGAAGTGTTTGAGGTTATTATCTCCATGAAATTTGAAATTTTGCCCAATCAGCTTGTCTCAGAGGGTATAGCATGATGGACTAATATACTGTTGAATTTATACTGATCCATCAATTTTGTGAAGAAGGTCAACACTGTAGATATTTTGCCTCCTGTATGCTTGACTGTTGGCACATGGTACTCCTTCTGCAACCTCTTATTGACTTTTTGTTGAATATATAAATGGCAGTTGGAACCAAACAATTCAGATTAGACTTGTCTGTCCAAAGTACCTTGTGCCATTGCTAGTCTCTTTTTGCATTAAGGGCTTTCTTGCTGCTACTATTCCACAGAGACCATGTTTCTCCAGTTTACATGAGACTGTACTCTTTTTTATTTTAATTTTATGTGTGCATGACTTTGATTTTTCAGGGTATTGAGGTGAGGTTTTTTCCTTATCCTCTACCTTGTCTGCTATTACAGGATAGGGATTCCTAGTAATGGTCCAATGTTTACTTCACAGTATGTTGCAAAAACCTTTTCTATTTTGCAATTTCTATTAAATTCCAACCAGCATTATGTAAACATTTGACACTGACTCTGTCAAAGGGTGGTTAATACTCTATTTTCGCATTTTAATGCCAACATCACACAATGTTAGCTGTATTGGATGATAATAAAAAACTATCATCTCTTGTATACCTACATGTACCTGCACAAAAACTCAGAATATGAAAATCTGAAACTTTTTATCAGTAGAGAAATTAAAGTAAACCATTTGTAGCAATCTTTTAGTAATTTGTATTTAGATTAAATACATAGAACAACTTGTAAAAAATTTGTGCACTTAATCATTAATTATTTGTGGCTATGTGCTGATTTTCTCTTGAAATTTTAAAGGAACTAATTGTATTAAATATATGGATAAAGGGAGAAAATCACTAATTTGCTAAGTCTGTTGTTTTTTTCCAAAATTTTAAGTTATTTTAGTTCTTCTTCATAAACACAACAAATCAAAACCACAGGAGCAATGAGGTGTTCTAATAAAATTGCATTCTACTGTTTTCATGTTAGATAATTAATCTTCATAAATGATCATCCATCATATTTATAGTGTTCTAATCAAAACTGATTCATCTGTTTTGTAAAGCACTACATAACTTTTCTCTTTTACTTGTCTTCTTTTCTTAATTAATTAATACATTACTATAAATCATTATATGTGCTTTGAAATGCACTCACAATTTCTACTAATGGAATAATTATATAGATACCATCAGTGTATGTTTCTTGATTTGATACAAATAGATTTAGCACATACTGAATATTTCTACTCACATCTTAGAAACATTGACAACAATTTAATTCGTTGTGCAGAATCAACTAATTTTCATCAATATGATGGTCTAACAGGTAAATAAATACCAACTAACTCCTTTTTTTTGTATTTTTTGAATGTCCTTATTTGGTCCAATTTCTTATGAGGCTGGTCCATTCTGCTCATTTTTGTTGTTTTCTAGTTTGTTACCTTCCTGCCTAAATTAACTCTTTCCGTACAGGGTTGATTGATGTGACTGACCTTGTTACCACAAAGTAACCATCAGAATTTTCATACTATAACTTTTAATATGTTTTGTGTATCTTCACAAAATTTGACAAGCTTTCAGTAAACATTACAAGGCTTTTGTACATGAAAAATCAGAATTTTTAATTAAGTATTTTTACTAAAGATTTGTAGGTGAATATATGGAATCAGAGTGTTGTCTGCTCTGAGTGCAAAGTGATTTTCATGTTATGATTAAAAACACTTTTTCACATCTGAATATTTCCAAAATTAATTTTTATTATTTCTCAAACCTTCTAAACTCTGTCAGTTTGACCGACCTGGTAACCACTATAAAAGAACAACTAATAAATCTTTTTTTTTATTATAAAATGATTGCTGATTCTTACAGAAAACTTCATTAGTTTATACTTCATTTTATTGTTTTATTGTTCTCAGAACCATG